CCCATCTAATTTAGGCTTTGCTATTTCATCTGACCCTCATGAAAACCCTGTGAGATAAATAGCAAAGATGGCTCTCCCATTTTATAGATTCAATGAGGGATAGATGGAGGGAGAGTGGAGGCCCCTTCCTTGTTGAGGACGTAGATGCTGCTCATCCTGGGCACAGGGCTGTCTGCCACATGTTCCAAAGGGACAAGTGACTTGCGCGGGGTGACCGGTCAAGTCAGATGGAACCAGCTCTGGTGCAGGCCTTCTGCCCCTTGCTCAGTGCTCATTCACTAAATCCAGCCACAGGGTGTCTGTGGAGCAGGGGGGCCACGCCTCTGTGGAAGGGAGACTTCCTCTGGGAGGCAGACAGGCTAGAACCTCATACATCTCACAACAAGAGCTCCACGCGTACTGCTTCCTGTCCCACCCTTGCTAGTGACAGAGAAACAGCCCTGCTCAGCAACCAGCTCCCCACAAATAGCACTTCTCTCCAACTGAACAGCTCTCTAATTTAGAGGGGAGTTTCTGGGCAGGCCTGTTTTTCATCTTTCTTGGTTTGACAGGCTCCAACAACACGGGCTATGTTGTGTCAGAGACAAAGTACCGCCCTGTTCCAACTCAAGATGTAGAATAACATTTCTTAGAAGTTACTCATAAGGTGGACTTTCTTAGTTAAAAATTCTTGCCAGCCCAGCTACTCGGGAGGCTGAGGCAAGAGAATCGCCTAAGCCCAGGAGTTGGGGGTTGCTGTGAGCTGTGATGCTGCAGCACTCTACTGAGGGCAATACAATGAGACTCTGTGTCTAAAAAAAAAAAAAAAAAAAAAAAAAAATATCTTGCCAGCCCTGATAGCTCAAGGAGAGAAAAAAATCCTAAGGGAAACATGGTCTATCGCGTGTCATTGTGGTGACTCATTGTCCATCAGATCAGATTGTTGAAATACGAATTAGAACTAAACTTGGTCTAGGAAAGTTTCACTGTTTTGAAGGAAAACAGTGTTGACAAAGCACATTTTTTTCAGCTTACTGAAATCCCTGAGCACGATGGCTTAAGTTCATAGAAATGATGTCCTAGCAACTTTCATTTTCTATTAAAGAGCCAAAGAATTAAATCCAAGAGAAGAGCAAGTGAAAATAGTATTTGCTTCTTCAGCGTGTGAGGTGCAGCTGAAGACACCATCCAAGTGCGGTAGAGGCAACAGAAGACGGGAAAATGTCAAAAGATTTTAACAAAAACAAATAAAATACCATGCATTGAACAAAAAATCAAAATGCAAAGGAAATGGGGGAGAAACATTCTGAATAAATATGTCAGAATGATGTAAAAGTTGCATGAGGAGCTATAACAAGAATTCAAGATCGCTGTGTAATAGCAGATGATATCCATACACCGCGAATGAAGAAACTCGAGAGACAAACATGGGAAAAGCCCATCTTCACTAGGAATCAGAAAAACGCAGGTAAAAAGAGATCACATCTTTCTTCATTAAAGGAGTCATTTTTTGAATGGATAAACTTAATGTTAAAAAAGGGTGACAACCTCAGTACCCTCATTCGATGACCAGATAGCTATAATAAAACAGTACTAGCTGGCCAGAAATCATTTTGACAGTGGGCATTAAATAGCCTTTAAAATGCTCCTCTTCGGTGACCTAGTAATTCCAGCTCCAAGAATCCCACCCGAAAGTGGCAGTCTAACAATGGAAAGCCGTAACGCACAAGTATGATTTCAACCGTGTTATTTTCGTATCACACCAGGAGACAAATTAGGTGTTTAAATGTTAAGAAATGGCGAAGTAAACCATAGCTTATTTTCTCACTGGAATAGTGTGAGAATGTTAACGATATGAAAAATGTGTATCAAGTAAAAAGAAGGATGCAAACTTACAGTACGATTTCATAAACGATGTATAAAAAACAAGAGTTGAAAACTTCTATCCCCCAAAAAACCTGCACACAGATTTTGGTGGCATCTTTATTCTAACTGCCCAACCTCAGAAACAACCAAGACGTCCTTCAGTAGGTGAGTGGATGAACCGATGGATAAACTGACTGTGGTACGTGCAGACAGTGCAACGCCATTCAGTGCTAAAAGGAGATGACCTATTGCAGAAGCATGGAAGAAATGTAAATGCATATTGCTGGCTGCAGGAAGCCCTCTGAAAAGGCTTCACATACTGTGACTCCAACTATCCCACATCCTGGAAAAGGAAAAACTATGGAGACAAAAGGATCAGTGGCTGCCAGGGGTTGGGGAGGGAGGGATGAACAGGAGGGGCACAGAGGATTCTAGGGCAGTGAGAGTGTTCTGCATGGTACCTCAGGGATGGACACATGTCATTATAAATTTGCCCAAACCCATAGCAAAGAGGGTACATTAAGAATGAACCCTTATAAGGTGAACCACAAGGATACATGTGAATCTTTCTAAATGTAGAATACAAGTGTCTTAACAGAATAACTAAGAAAATGCCATGAAGGCTATGTTAACCAGTTTGGTGAAAATATTTCAAATTGTATATAAAAACAGCACACTGTACCCCCATGACTAAATTAATGTACACAGCTATGATTTAATAAAAACAAAACAAAACAAAAAAAAAGAATGAACCCGGTTGTGAACTATGGACTTTGAGTAATGGTAATGTGTCGATGTAGGTTTATCAGTTGCATGAAACGTACCACTCTCGTGGAGATGTTGGCAGTGTGGGAGGCTGTATGTGTGGGGGCAGGCAGGGTATCTGGAAACGCTGTATCTTCCACTCAACCTTTCTAAAACTTCTCTAAAAAGTAAAGTCCGCTAAAAAAAAAGTAAGGAGGAAGAAAAAAATGAAAATATTTGTGAAGGTTGTGTTTGGGTTGTGATAGACTTATTTTCTTTGGTCTCCGTGCCTGTAATTACCATTTTAAAACACAAACGTGAATTATTTTTCTAATGGAAGGAAGAAATAAACATTTTAAGAGTTTAAAAAGCTACAGAATAAAGCTGAGCCTGTGGTTGTATATTTAAGCAGCTCTGAGAGTTTCTGATCCCATGTTTGTTCTTAGTGGTCAAAGGTTTATAAATTCCCATTCCTTTTGGCTATTTGAGAATGTACACAATTGACCCTGTACTCTAAAGCTACAACCAGTTAGAATCTCTGTTCCCAATGAAAATAAGCCATCTTTGAGGAATCTCAGTGGGGACCGTATTGTTGGAATTTTTCCCACAATGTGTGTGATTCACTCTTTATTTATTTTTAAATATCTAAGATTATTATTGGAATAGGCTATCTCTTATTACGTACATGAGTATATTTACTTGCATTTCATTATAAACAACTCTGGCAATATCCCTGTCCTGTCTTCCATTTGTTTAGTTCTTCAACACCCCCTTTCTAGGGAGCTACTATTTTTAAATTCTTAGGAATATTTTCAGAGATTTTTGTAACCCATGTGCAAGAAAATAGTTTTATATATATATATATATTATTTCCCCCTTTTTTATACAAAAAGTGACACATCTTACACATTGTCCAACACAGAGTTTTTTCACTTAAATATGTATCTTTCCTTATCAGGATATAAATAGCTTCCTTGCTCTTGACAGCCATAGAGGGCACCAAGCACGGCTTCAGCATACTCCATCCTCATCTATTACCATTCCAAACAGCACTATAGTGACCAATGTTATACAGACATCATTTCATACCCATGAAGGATGGTCAAAGATCAAATTGCTAGAGATGAAATGTTAGGCTCCATGAGTCTAAGCTTCTGTGATTTTGATAAAGTTTACAATATTATTCTCTATCCCTGCACCCCTTATCCAAAGAATACTTTGCCCCAAATTTGATCACAGTCATTCTGATTTGTGCAAAAAAAAAAAAGAATATATTTTGGCTTGAATTTCTTTCTCATGAGGGAACATTAGTGTGTTTTCATGTGTAGAACCTTTGCATTTGTGTGCAAACTGTTTATTCACCATATCTTTCATTTTGATGATTGGGTCTTGTTTTTATGGATTTCTAGAAATTCTTTATGTGTTAGGGATAACTAACTCTTGATAACTTGCCCTATCTGGTTGGAACATGTACCTGAGGACAAGGTGCTTTTCTTAGGTTTCTAGAGCCAATAAGAAGCATTTGAAATAAGACTGATGGCCATTCAAGAAAGTTTGTGGACTCCATCCCACGGATAGCAGGAAGAATAGCTTTGACATCCGAGCGGCCTACGTCAGCAGCTTCCGTGTGTGTTACTTACCAACAGAGTCACTTAGAGCAGTCAGGTAGCATCTTTAAGCCTTAGCTTTCTCACCTGTAGTATAAAAAGACTTGTCCCTATCGCTTTGGGTTGTCATGGATAATGCGCAGAAAGAATGTAACACTGCAGTGGTTACAGTCACAGCCCTCCTCTGAGGGAACTCATGTCTCCTGTACTTCAGATAAAGGTACAGCAGGAGAAGAAAGCTCCAGAGACTTCAAGATGCAACTCCCAGGGTCATTTCTCAGGTGTTCAGTTGTTTTGCTTTTGCATTATAATAGACAAAGACATGCAAGGAATCTTGGTTTCAGGGAAGCTTAAGCAGAAATCTCCAGCAGTGTTTTTAATTCCCTACTGTGATGTAGCCTACCCAGACGAGGAACCAGTTAAACCAGGTGTAAACCAGCAACCCAAATAAATATCCATCAACAAATAAATATCCATCAACCAGGTGTAAACCAACAACCCAAATAAATATCCATCAACAATGTAGACAAGCTGACCCTGGGTCCTTCCAGGGAATTTTGAACTCTAAACAGTACATTATAAATCACTATCTCAACTCGTCCTTCTTATCTTGACCAAGAGTCAGTACCAGACTCTCAGACACCCCTGCAGATAAGCATAGAGCAATTCCAGCCCTGCTGTGAGATAGCAACCTCCTCACCTACACAGGTGCGCAGGAAGAACTCGAAAACTAGATTTGTTTTCTTTCTGATCTCCTTTGCACCATCCTGCCTTTGTCTTACCCAAGACTTTATTCTTCTGCAGCTCAGGGGAGACTGTCACCAGTGTGACCAGCTTGGCTCCACTGCAGCCCAAGAAGGACAAAAGGCTGAAGCAGAAGTCTGATGTTCCTCCTGCGATCCCCGCCAAAGGTAGGAAGCTGATCTGCAGTCTCCATGTGGAAACCAAAATCACCAGGACTGATTCAGGGCTGGGTCTAGGCTTCCATAGGGAGTCAGGACAGAGGGCTCAGGCAGAGGGCGGACATGGCTTTCAGTGTTTATGGTCTAGAGAGCCCTACATTTAGTAATAGCCCTTCTCCTAGCCCCAGGTGGGAGTAGATGTGTACCATGGATCCTGTGTAACATAGCAGGGGATGGAAGCTACATCGCAGATGAGCCCACACTATATTTCACTTTCAGGATGGGGCAAGGGAATCTTCTTGGTTTGTTCAAGGCAAAGAAGGCTCTCTGAATTTTTAAAGATATCAACCAGGTATACAATTTATTTCATTTTGTTCTGAGTATAAAATGAGGGCTATCCCATGATACCGGTTATGATTTGGAACCACATGAGTGAGGAGGATGGGTGTTCTAGAGGAAAGAGCTGTCCAAGAAGTAAGAGAACCAAGAAGGTCTACAGATAATTCCTAAAATCACTGGCCAGTTTAGATGTTCTTACCTCAACAAATTTGAAATATAGTTGAGAATACAAGGATCACCCAGATGAACAATTTAATAAACAGCCAAGATACATTATATCTCTCAGTTGGGGCTTCACAGGACATCCCTTTGGGACCCTTTGAGCCCTGTGGGGGGCCAGTGGTGGCTGCATGACAGAAGGGGCTGGAAGAGTGGTCAGAGTTGGAGGCAGGGCGAGTGTAGGTCTGGGAGGCGACCTACTGTTAACTCTCTCATTCCCTCTGGAGTAGATATTATCCTATCCTTACATTTGTTCTGAGGATAAAATGAGGGATATCCCATGATACCAGTTATGATTTGGAACCACATGAACCCAATCTTGCAAAAGATGAAAATGGATATAGAGAGCAAAGTGGCAGACCTTGGCTTTCAGTGCCAAGTTCAAGTTCCAAATGGTGCAAAGACTAGTTACATGAGGCTCCATGAAGAACCTTCTCTGTTAAATGGGCATAATAAGACCCTCCCTCGTGACCTCACAGGGCTGCTGTGGAGATCAAAGTTCATTGCTATTGGTGTTAGTGTGTGGACAGATGGATTCTCCCAAGGAAGGTGGCAGTCTCAGCCTTTGGCAGATGCACCTGGTTCTCACCTGCACACCTGGCCTCTTTGTAGCTGGCTATGTTGTATGCAGAGTTGTTTTGTTGGCTTTGCTGAGGGAGGCTTGCCCTCATTGAGGGGCCTTTCTTGACACCTAGATCAGAAATTGGGGTTCTTCTGTGGGGCCAAGAAGGCCCATCTGGAGAATGCCTGTGATGCTCTTAATACATGGCCACTGGGGTCCTGGAAAAACTGCAAGTTATACCTCTGACCTACTTCCACAGTTCCGATATCCCCCACGTTCCATAAGCCGAAGCTGCTGAAGCCACACAGGAGAGCCATGCTGGTGAGTGACCCTGTTCTGTGCTGATACACTTGCTGTGCTGTCCCTCAAGCCTTAAACACACTTCAGAGTCCAAATGGCAACCCCCCCAAAATAAAACATGTTTTCATCTTTCGTATGCAACTGTGAGTGATTATAAATTGGTTTCACGGTAGTACTGAGTACATTGGATATTTTTTTTCCATTCCTGAGAGACTTTACTAAGAAGAATGTTTTCCCGCTCCATCCATGTAAACATAAAAGAGGTAAACACAACTATAGCCTAGGGTGAAGGAGGGAAGGGGAGGGGGATGGGGTGGCAGATGGGGGGTTGGGAGTGGGACCACACATATGGAGCACATTGCAAGTACAAGTTGGATCTATCAGGGGTAAACCATAAATGTCTTAATCCTGTAATTGGGTAAAAGTGGTAAAGGCCATGTTGCTCAGTAGGATGTAAGCACTCCAATTTGTACAAATAATCAACACATTGAATCCTATAATGGCATACATGTATTTATGATCTATGTACAAAAGACTTAATAAGAAAAAGAAAACATGTTGAAATTTCTTGGTAATTTTGTCCCCACGCAAAGGCATTCTTTCAGGTCAGCTTTTTTCCATACTCAGAGTGACTCTTTAATATCCAAATATTTTTTATTATAAATGCTGCTTTTCAAAAAGAAGGATAAAGCCATACTCAGAAATATAGAAAATAGAAAATGGATCTGCTTGTATGGGTAGACCTGGTAACCAATCCGAAAAGACTATTAAACATATTTTCTAGAAAATACGTTGTGGCTTGTTGTTTAGAATAATTTTAGATTTGCAAAAAAGTTGTAAAGCTAGTATGGAGAGTTCCTGTATGCCAGTGTTTTCCAGCCTTTTTTTCTTCTTCTTCTTTTTTTTTTTTAAATCTCAGGCACACTTGAACCTGTAGTTAAACTTCGTGGCATACTTAAATTATGTTGATCAAATAGAAAAAAAAGAGTAAAAGAAAGAATACACTTACTGTGCTTTGAACTTCTTTC